TTTCAGTCACTCAGATGGTCTTAGAATGTTTAAAGCATCTTGGGTAAACTGAAAATTAAAAAAAAAAATTACAAATACATATACAGTCTCACCTTTGTGGGAAATATTAACTTATGTTTCAATACTGTGACAATCTGTACTGAGTAGACTATTACACAGTGGCACTGATCTACTGGCTGTGTACTCTAGGCAGGGGAAAAACATTTTAAGAACTATTTTATTTATTCAAAAATATTGAGTACAGGGGCTGGAGCAATAGCATAGCAGGTAGGGCATTTGCCTTATATGCAGCCGACCTGGGTTCCATTCCCAGCATCCCATATGATCCCCCAAGCACCGCCAGGAGTAATTCCTGAGTGCAGAGACAGGAGTAACCCCTGTGCATCGCTGATTGTGACCCAAAAAGAAAAAAAAAAGCACAAATATAGTATCACATTATTTATGAATAAGGATTCATGAAGACTATATTGTCCTCTTGGGGCTTCAATATAGGGGTAAAATCGCAAATAATAATGGTGGGTCTGGTGTCAAAATACTGAATGTAATCAAAGTAGAGAGAGAGTAATGTGGAAATCATTTGCCCCACAGGTAGGGAGAGGGTGTGGGATGGGGGTATACTGGGGTTTTTGGGGGTGGAGAATGGGCACTGGTGAAGGTACGGGTGTTTCATTGTATGACTGAGACTTAAACCCGAAAGCTTTGTAACTGCTCTCATCGTGATTCAATAAACAAAATTATAAAAAATGGAAAAAATAGTGGGAAGTAGGTTCCTCCAAAGATAATCCCCAGTCTACAGGTGCTATGAGAAGAACAACTGAATTACTGAGGTACTAACACTTGAGAAGTACTTTGAAGGTACGTATTTTCTAGCAGAAGAAACTAAGAGGTATATCAGTTCTCTGATGTACTTGGAGGGCATCTCCATCCCCGCTCCCTCTCAAAAAGCATGACACTGGAGCCAAGGAGATGGTTCAAAAAGTTGGAGTCCCAGAATTGACCTGGGTGGTGCATGGACCCCTGAGCAACACTAGGTGTGAGGAAAAGTCACCTTTCTCAATTACTTCATTAAATATCTTCTCTCCTGGTATGGAAGTTCTCCCACTTTTACAAATTGGATTAAAACCTAACTATCAGTGTTCTTGCATGAACTATCTGTATTTGTTATCTAGGTAGGTGTATATGTTATGTTTCAACCATGCTTCTGTGGTTATTGATTGAACCAACCCTTTGTAGTAAGATTATAATCTGCAAGAATGAATTTACCCCCAATACTATAATGGGGTGAGGGGGATTGGGCACACCAGGCAGTGATTGGGGGATGTGGTGCCAGGGATTAACACAGATTGGCTGCATGCAAGATAAGTGCCCTAGTCACTGTATTATCACTCCAGCCCCAATAATATAATTTCTTGCTGATAATCAGTTGAAGAACTTATTAAAATTGATAACCTGGGGGCTGGAGAGACAGTGAAGCTCTTTGGGGCCAAGAGGAATCAATGATAGTATTGCTAGAAACAAAATACTGTTAACATTTCTGGAATTTTGATACTCCAGTGTGATTTGACAGTTTTGACTCATTCTCTCAGAATACATAATGGAGTATTCCAGAGACATGACACATGATATTGTTATGACAGGCATTGAAACAAAAACTGCATTTTTATGTGTTCTAAACTGGGTTCTCTGGTACTCAAGTGGCATTTAAGAATGTAGAGGTGTTCCCAAAATAACTAAAAAGTGAGTGCTGGACAGAGCAAAGGATCTGAAAGATACCTTGCCTATGTAAAAGAAAAATGACATCACATTCCTATCTCCTGCCAATCAACTCAACCCTCAAACTGAAATTTTCTCATCAACCTGAAAATGTGAAAAGAATTTTAGATGGAGCAATAAACCAAGCTACCAGAGTACTCTAGAAGGTTTCTCAATCAGGGGCAATATACTCCTTCGGGGCTCCTGGGATATACCAAGGGGTCCAGAAGGGCCATGGGAAGGAATCAAGACGAGAAATGGGTCAAGCTGAAAAAAGGGTTGACAAACACTATCTAGAGAAGTATCTCGGACCTATGTATTTTGTTATTACCTAGATGTTCTGTTTCAGATCTAAGTTCTGAATTTAATCTTTAACCAAACATACATCCCAAATAAACTTATAGGCACCTCACTTGGACCACAAAGGGGAAAAATTGGTTAGCATCACAGATATTTTCACACATACACACACGCACACACACACACTCTCACTTTTTCAGTGGATGAGATCACTGGGCTCACAAGTCCAAGTTAGCTTTGATTTGCTCCCTAACAATGAGGTAGGACCTCACTTCTTAACCTTTGCCACTTGTCTGAAAGACTTTCATGCCTGTCAAGGGAGAGCCTTGGTGACATCAGCACAATTAAAGTACATGTTTTGTCATGTCAAAAGTTGTGCTCAGCCAAATCATTTTAAATACTTTGGAGGAGTTAAATATTTTTAAAACTATTTCTATGTAACCAGGATTTCCATGCTCTGGGTACATCTGGTGCAAGTCTGTGGCAGGAAGAAACAAAACCCAAAAAACTCAGCATTCAAAAAACTCAACTCAGTAAGACATTTGGATAATCCCCTGGAAACAGCCAGGCTGGAGAGTCAAATTTCAATTATTCATCGAAACAGGAGGCAAAGACCATCATCAAATAAATTACGTGTATGTATTAAAAAAAAAAAACCAGCCTGTTATTTTAAGCAATTTCAGCTTAGAGAAAACCTTTTCAAGGAAATTCACAATAATATAAGTACATGGACTGTGTGCCTGCGTCTACTTTAGGTGCTAACAATAGTCATGCTTGTTGTCCTTTTATTCTTTTTTAAAATACTGGACGTCCTTAACAAGATGGAAGAAAATGGAAAGGAAAAAATTCCCCAAATATCTGAGCACTACAAAATCTAACTTATCATTCAAATAGATGATGTTCAGCTTCATGAAAACTAATTATGTCCTTAATATAATTATCTTCCAAGCATATCTAGCCTTAATTCCACTGGGAAAACAACAATGAAAGGAACTATATATAATTTATTTGCCATATAGCAGCATACTTTAAACGTTCCTTAATTTTTGGGCAGGGGGGGAAAGCAAATCATTCCTTAGCTGCAAATGGCCACTTAAAATGGAAAAGGCACGTAAAGCACCTAGCAGGCGCTGCCTCTAGACTGCCAATTTCATAAAGAGATCATAATTAAATTAATGCTGACATCTAGTGGTAAGAAAGAACGCTTTTCTTGAATCATACCTTAAGACACTAAACCAATGAATCTAAAACCAGACACTTTCAAATCCCTACACAAGTTCTTTCCATTTAACGGAGTGGATAATTATTCATTAATCTTAAGTAAAGAAAAGAATTAAGAAAATAGTTTCCCAGTATTGAAAGAGAAAACAAAACAAAAATCTTTGAGGCATAAAACTGCCAATTGACTTCTTGCGGGGGAGGGGTGGAGGGGAAAAAAATCATTGTTTGAAACTACGTATTTGCGGCCTTAAAAGGATCGAATACACAACTGCTTAAGAATTAAAGGTGTAACAGAATATTTCACTGGTAAGAGATTATTAAACTGCTAGATGTGTTTTAATTCTGTCCTCAAAGAGGAGCTGATTTCCCTCTGCACCCTTCCCTTTTAGAAATGTTCTTAGTTTTGTAAAAAATGTGAAACGACTAATGAACAAAAAACTAATTTCCTCCACTCTTACAACACAGATCTGACCATCGCAAGCTGACAAAGCTATTGTCTGGGTGAAAGACACAATTCTAATGTTATTCCCAATCACCAGGACACCATGAACAAACAGACGAATCCTGATGCACCATCTTTTATAACAATTTGAAGGAATATTTAAGATTCGACAGAAAATCTGAGGATGTCACTTTGGGGAATTCAGGGACAGATCATTTTGGGAGGAAAAAAGAATTCACTTTTCAACCGAAGAATTTTCTTATTCAGCAGACTTGACATGGTTGAACTGCTGGTTGACTAGGGGTGGTTGTGGGGGAACTAGCAACCTGAATTTAAATAGAAAAGACGGCTTTAAAAAAAAAAAGAAAACATTATGATTTCTTTTCAAAACTACAATTATTTTCCATTTCAAAGTGGTGTGAGCCTTACAACAAACAAACAAAAACACAACAAAAAAACCGGCAAGGCGATGAATGAGAAAAACCAAGACACAGCACGTTCAGAAAAAAAAAGAAACACACGTCTTTGTCCTCTTATAAACAATTCCCACCACCGATTCAGCATGCACATGGAACCAGTTTGCAATCACTCCAAAATGTCCACCTTCTCCAATTTCCTTGCCATTTAAAAAAAGCCATACATTTATTATTATTATTTTTTAACAGAAAGGACGCAAAACAGGAGGCCTGAACAGAAGATATTTGTTAGCGCCCCCCCCCCCCCCCCCCACCTCCCCGGGGTACGAAGTGAAAAATCCCAATGGCAAGTTCACTCTTTTGGATAAATCAGGCCAGAGAGCCGGCGGGTGGGCGTCAGGATCACTAGTTAGAGAAGGAAATTTCTAGAACCAAGCCTCCCCAGCCCGGCTGGGGGGTGATGGTGCAAGTTGACTTCACTCTCGGGGGAGGGGGTGTGCGTGGGAGCATCGGGCGAGGTGGGGGCGGGAAGGGCTTTTTTTTTTCTTTTTGCAGGGTTCGACTTTATTTGGGGTCAATCAGCCGGGGGTGCTGGGGGACCGCAGAGACGCGTCCCAAGTCCCGGACGCCCTCCCGGGCTCGGGGAGAGGGGCCGAGCCCCCGGAGCTCCGGCACGCAGGGGGCTCGGCTTCCCCCGCGGGGGGGGGGGGCCTCCGGGGACGGGGACGGGGGCGGCGGCGGGGCCCGGCTCGGGCCGCCCGAGGGGGCTGGCGGGGCGCCTCCGGGAGGGAGGGTGGGCGGGGGCGCGGGCCGCTCGGCCGCCGCCCCCCAGCCCGGGCGCGGGGCTCCCTCCCTCCCCGACCTCTCACCAGGCGCAGCTGGCTGATCTCGTCGTATGACATGAAGCTGAGGATGTTCTCGATGGCTACGATGGGCAGCGCCACCAGCGTGTTGTGGGGAGGCAGCTGGTCGGGAGCCAGCGCCGGGGCGGGGGGCGTCTGGGAGCCCGGCGGCGGGGCCGGGGCCGGGGCCGGCGGGGGCAGCCGCGGGGCAGAGCCGACGGCCGGAGAGGCGCCGTCGTCGCCGTGGCCGTCGCCTCCTTCCTCGGTCATCCGCTCCTCCGACGCCGCCGCCATCTTCGGGGACTGATTCCTTCCCCCCACTGCAAGGGGAACACGGACGCTTCCGCTACGTCACTTCCTCCCCGCGCCGCCTCGGAGGGGGCACCTGGGGCAGGGGGCGGAGCCCAGGGGGCGGGAGCCGGCGGGAAAGTGGGCTCAGCTGGGAGCGAGCTGGCAAGGGGATCCTCCTAGGCGCTGCTATCTAAGCTTGCGAAGAACTTGATGGAGAACCGGGGAATCCTTCCAGGACATATAGGATTAACTTACCAGATGCAGTTCCCTAACCTGAGAAAGGATGTGTGATAGAGTTATTGTGATATTTTGTTTGTTTATTTTTTTTTTAAATTTGTTCTAACACCGTGGTTTACAAAGTTATTCACAACACAGCTGTTTTGGGCATTCAGTTTTCCAACACCAGCCCCATCTCCACTGCTGTCTCGTTTCCCACCCATCCCCCAAGCTTGCCCCCTTGGTCGCACAATGGTTGAATTGATATTGCTTGTAACAACAAAATGGAATTATCGAAAAATAGTTCAGTAAAAGAAAGTTTGTGAAAATTGTTATCTCTCGCAATGGGGTTATTAAAGTCATTTTTCCAAGGATTTACCGTTGCTAGTTGAGCCTTCCACGTTACCGTTTTTTGCTTATTGAGCTTAGGGGGTTTCTATGCTACTTCCCCATCTAATTTGCTGTGCTTCTCCTGGGATTTCAGTGCTGTAGAGTTTGGAAGTGTCACATGACCACATGTGCAGCTGGGTGTTTCAGGATTTGTAGAACTGGATCATTCAACCCGTTCTGGGTCCCAGAGTTCTCAACATAAAGACCAATGTACCCATGAGTTTCATTGTCTTGTCTTCGCTTGGAAGAGATAGTGGCACCTCTTCCAAGATTAGTGGGGAAGCTGTGAAGTTGGGCCATTTGTATGGCAATGATTGTGGGGTGTGGATGTGAGTGCCAGGGCTTCCGCAGGGTAGGGACTGGGCTTGCCGCCTTCCTGAGGGCGCCCCAAAATTTTCACCCCGAAGATCCATGAACCCGAGAGTTTCATTGGCTTGGCTGGCATCTCTTCTGAGATCAGTCACGAAGCTGTGAAGCTGGGTGGTTGTTTCCATAGTGGTGCCTGTGGGAACATCATTATATTTTAGGAGTCATAGTAATTACTGATTTAGACAAAAGGAAAAATGTATTACAATTATGTAAAATGAGGGCATGGGGAGATACTTTAGTAGGTAGAGCACTTGCCTTGCTCATGGCTGGCTCATATTCATTCTACATATGGCACCCAGAGCACTGCCAGGAGTGATCCCTAAGCATCAATGGATGTCCCCCCAAATGAACAAAAATAATTATTAAAATTAAAGAAGTTTCACACAAAGGAGCATATATTATATTTTATATATAGGAAGTAGAATTCTGTTGCAGGCAGAGAGATAGGGGGCCCTGGCAATGTAGGTTTGGGAAGTCTGGAACCAGTTCGAAGGCATGAAAGCCATTAAGACTGAAGACCCATCTGAGAAGCCTGAAAAGCTGTTACAAACGATGAAAAACTCAGAGAGGCAGCTGGATCCTTGGGAAGAAGAACCAGGAATGCATGGGCCAAGGCTGCAAAAAGAACTCAAGAATGAACCACCAGAAGTTCATGCTTTTGCTCAGGAAAAGCCCTATTAACTCCTACTTGTGTAAAGAATTTGGGACAGGGGCTGAAGAGATAGCACAGCAGGTAGGGTGCTTGTCTTGCACATGGCCAACCTGGTTTCTATTCCCAGCAGCCCAGTGGTCCCCTGAGCACCTTCAGGAGTGATTGTTGAGTACTGAGCCAGGAGCTACCCCTGAGCATCAATGGGTATGGCACAAAAACAAAAACAAACCAAAAACCAAAAAAAAAAAAAAAAAAAAAAAAGAAAGAAAGAAAAAAAAAAGAATTTAGGGCAAAGGCAGTTACAGAAAATATCCAAACACAACTTCTCAGAAAAAACTACCCTGAACTTTTTCCACTCTTGAGAAACTCATGTTCTCCCACGAGCATGTATCTTATTCTCTTTATCTTCCCTAGTTCCCAAATAAACTTGTTTTATGTCACAGTTCATCTCTTTCTTTTTTAGGAGGAAAAGTGAAGTTCCTGGAAAGCCTGGGTAAGATGTAGGACTGAGTTTTCTTTCCTGCAAGAGTAGTTCTTCACTTCAGAGTGGGTTCCAAGAATCCCTGAGAAATCAGGTGGCTGGGATCACCTCCTGTCTGGGCAGAACAAGTGGAGCTCAGGTGTGGTCTCATGACCACCTCTTGGGGATGGTGGGAGGTGAGGTCTGTACCCTACAGGTACTCATCACAGGCTCTCATCAGTCCTGGATTTCCCAGACTCTTCCCAGGGTTAGGAGGTGGGTAGTGAAAAAAGCAGTAGAGTGCTTCTGTCCGCACTTAGCCACACAGGGAATCCTACTATTCCTGGTGGGAACCACATCTCCCACTGGTGACAATTTCCTATTATATGCAATGACATAGATCATCAAATACATAGAGATAGAAGTTTCTAGAAAGTGGTTTTGAGAAAGTGGAGGGATTTGAAGAAAAGAAGAAAACTGCTAATGTGGGCAGGGCTTTTCTTTTTTTTTTTTTTTCCTTTTTCCATTTTTTATAATTTTATTTATTGAATCACCGTGAGAGCAGTTACAAAGCTTTTGGGTCTAAGTCTCAGTCATACAATGAAACACCCGTATACCTTCACCAGTGCCCATTCTCCACCACCAAAAATCCCAGTATGCCCCCATCCCACACCCTCCCCCTGCCTCCGGGGCAGATGATTTCCACATTACTCTCTCTACTTTGATCACATTCACTACTTCGACACCAGACCCACCATTATTTAAGATTTTACCCCAACACTTAGATCTGCTGAAAAGGCAACAATAGACAATTTGTGTTCTATGCTTGTTATGACTAACATATGATGTCGTGTGGCTGCAGTAGGGCCATGTGGTTTTGAAATTCTGAAATTTTAACACTTAAATCTGGAGGGATTTCTGCCAAAAGCCACTGGGTTTAGAGATCTGCTCCTGAGTCTCTGGGATCATGGCCGTTGAGCAGCTTGATGAGGAGCCAAAGAGGCCATTTGTGGGCGATGACTTGGGGTCTCATTGGGGTGGGGAAGACAGGCCCGGCTCCACCTCCTCCCCCATCCCGTGAGACCCAACAAGTTTCGTTACTGCGGGCCCAAGCCTGACTGTCCAATGGCCTCTGGAGGATGACAGCCACCAAGTCACCAAGAGGGAGCAGGCGGAGGGACAGCACCCATTCCCCCCTGGGGTGGCCTGGTGACAGTAACCTACTGCGGGGTCCGGACACATTTCTGACAAAAGCCGCTGGGTTTCGAGATTTGTTTCTGAGTCTCTGGGATCAAGGCCACTGAGCAGCTTGATGAGGAGCCAGAGAGGCCGTTTGTGGGCAATGACTTGGGGTCTCGTTAGGGTGGGGAGGACAGGCCCGGCTCCACCTCCCCCCCTCATCCCGTGAGACCCAACAAGTTTCGTTACTGTGGGCCCAAGCCTGACTGTCCAATGGCCTCTGGAGGATGACAGCCACCAAGTCGCCAAGAGGGAGCAGGCGGAGGGACAACACCCTTTCCTCCCTGTGGTGGCCCAGCAACAGTAACGTACTGTGGAGTCCAGATGCATTTCTGCCAAACGCCACTGGGTTTTGAGATTTGTTTCTGAGTCTCTGGGATCATGGTTGTTAAGCAGCTTGATCAGGAGCCAGAGAGGCCATTCGTGGGCGATGACTTGGAGTCTCGTTGGGGTGGGGAGGACAAGCCCGGCTCCACCCTCATCCCGTGAGACCCTGTGTGTCTCGTCACTGGGGGCCCAAATGTGACTATCCAGTGGCCTCAGACGGATGGCGGCCACTGGGCCGCCAGGGGGAATAGGCCAAGGCACGAAACCTGTTCCCACCTGGGTTGGCCCAGCACCGGTAGCCTACTGCAGAGACCAGACGCATTTTTACCTAAAGCCACTGGGTTCTGAGATTCGTTTCTGAGTCTCTGGGATCATGTCCATTAAGCAGTTCAATCAGGAACCAAAGAGGCCTTGCCTCCAATTATATAGCTGAGCCGGAGGTGGTTTGTGGGTGTGTTTCCCACATACCTAACTTTTGGCCGTTTACTTTCTTGGTAAACTTTGCCCCCAGTTTTTGGGGTCTGGCCAAAGGCACAGCAGCAATTTTGGGGTATCTGGAAGTCTGAAGGCGCCATGAGGCTGCTGATGCACTCGCCTCACAGGTACAGATTGACCTGCTGGCGGCACCATACCCCCATCTTTTTTTTTTTAGAGGATGATAATGGTGATAGTTTCCTAAACTTATGACTATCTTAAAAAACATGAGATCTTAAAATTTAAAATAATAAAATTAGGGCTGAAGAGATAGTATAGGGGCAGCAGATCCTAGTTTGATCCCTGGCGTGGCACATGTTCCTTCAGGCTCAACAAGAGTGACCCCTAACACAAAGCCAGGAATAAGCCCTGAGCACCTCTGAGTGTGGCTCCAGGCCCTGGAGCAATAGCACAGCAGGTAGGGCATTTGCCTTGCACACAGCCAACATGGCCAACCCAAGTTCGACTCCTCCGCCCCTCTCGGAGAGCCCGGCAAGCTACCAAGAGTATCTCACCCGCATAGCAAAGCCTGGCAAGCTACCTGTGACATATTCGATATGCCAAACAAATAACAAGTCTCACAATGTTATTGGGTCCACTCGAGCAAATCGATGAAAAACGGGAGGATAGTGACAGTGAATTATTGGAGCGGAGTTGTGGTGGTGCAGGGGCTCAGGAAGCTGCCTTGCAATGTAACTTGGATTTTATACCTCCTACCACATATGGTCCCCCTGAGTGCTGCCCATGGTCTCTCCTGAACTCAGAGTCAGGATTAGCACCAGAGAACTGCTGGGTAAGGCCCCTATAAGTAAAACATAAAATATATCGATAAGAAGAATCACTGAGGGGGTTAGAGTGATAGAATAGCAGATAGGGTGCTTGCTTTGCATG